CCGGACTGATGGCCCCCAGAATAGAACAGGGCCTGGGGGGGGGGGGGGGGGGGGGGGGGGGGGGGGGGAAGAAAAAAAAGAACGAAAGAAAGAACACCTCTCCTTTGCTTGCTGCCACCTTCCTTTTCCCTTTGCCTACCGTTGGCAGCGTTGAACCACCACTTTACCCGACGTTGGAAATTCGGGGGACCGGTAGCACAGGTTCATGAGGCTACCGGTAGCATAGTGTGGAGAACCGGCACAGCGGCGACAATGCAAAATGCGATGAATTGCCGCCACGACCCATTTCATGGTTGAAACAATTTTTATATATTTTTTTGAATATTTTTCCTGCAAAGATCACAACCAACACTACAAACCCTCCAATTTTCAGATTTTCTTACATGTACTTCTGAGCGTGAAAAATCGCTGAAATTGGGGTACTTTTCCCGTTGGCCCACAAGTTGTAGAGTGGCAAAAACGGAAAATGTGACGAATTGGTGCGGCATTTATTTCAAGGGCTAAATGATTTATTTATTTTTCATTTTTCTGATACTTTTCCTGGAAAGATCAAGACCTAATTTTTTCTGATACTTTTCCTGGAAAGATCAAGACCTAATCTACAGCATCTCAATTTTTCAGATTCTTTTCTTGATCTTTCTGAACGCGAAAAATCGCCAAGTTGGCACCTCAAAATTGCAGGACTGGACCCACCTGCGCCCACCAGTCGGCCATCCCTCCCCCCCCACCACCACTAAAGACCCACTCTGAACTCACCGGAATGCCATTTTTCGGTGTTGCGTAGAGTGGTGGTTTAAAAGGCGGCAGTGATGCTCTGTTGCAGTTTTTGATACTGTATGGACTTTGACCCCTCAGTTTTTTATAACCTTTCCCCTCCTGAGGCCTCTCGTGCCGAACCCAGGGGCTCTTAACCAGGCGTCCGTCTAGCACCCACACATATTTCAGAACCTATCCAGGGTTGCACCCCCCGACGGTCGGCGGCCCTTGACTGGTCGGCTGCCGACCCGCCCGACCAATCGGCTGGTCGGCACCTACGGGCCGGGGTCGCCGGTCGGCAGGGACACAATTGCCCGCCGACAGTGCACAATGTTCTCTAAGCGGATCTGTGGCCTGCTGGCACACAGTCATGATCTTCAGAGGATGTCGCAGCCAATGGTAATGGCTATTTGTTCACCACTGATTGAGCATATCCATGCGACGGGCAATTGCGTGTCTACTATTTGCGCCTCGATTTGTGTGTCCATTGCATGTTGATTGCATGTCTATTGTGTGTCTATTCGTGCTTGTTTGTGTGTCTGTTTGTGTGCCTCGAGCGTCTACTAGTGTGTTGTCATGCCCGCTATACGCAACTCCACAAAAAAAACATGACGGTGTTGTCCATGAGTGCGCCTATTAGTGTCTCTATTATTAGGGCGTCTCTTAGTGTGTCTACGAGACTGTCTATTAGTTTGTCTATTTGTGTGCATGCTTTTCTGTCTGATTTTTTCCTGGCTGCTATCTGCGCGCCGGATTTTTCCCCCACGGATTGTGTGCCTTGTCATGTGTCTGAGACTCTGACTTTGTCCATGATGGACTCTGTGCCCATGAGAGTGATGGCAGATTGTGTGCGTCCTCATGCTTTATCGTGTCCAAGAGTCTGAGACTCTAAAGGCTAGTAAAGGTAGATTGGAAAGTCAAAAAGTTATGTCCATGATGGACTGTGTGCCCATGGGAGTGATGACAGATTGTGGGCCTCCTCATGTTTTATCGTGTCCGAGAGTCTGAGACTAAAGGCTAGTAAAGGTAGATTGGAAAGTCTAAAAGTTAAAAGCGACAATCAAAGTAACCGCAACCTTACAATCCCTGTCTGCTGGGTTTGAGGTCATGGACACATGTGAAGTTGCAGAGGGTAAAAGGAGCAAGGAGATGGGGGGGTGGAAGAGAGGAAAGCGGAACGAGGAAAGGAACAAGCAGTGTTGCCCGCTGTATGGATCTGTGCCATACTTGCAACGGCACCGTGCGCCGTACCGTGCGGTGTGCCGCACGGCGTGCAGCGTGGCACCTGCTTGTGCGCCGTACCAGCAGCAGATTCTCTTTTCTTTTTGTTTTTTTTGCTGTTTTTGCTTATACAGCAGAGTGCACCACCTAGGGAACAGATCTTTTTCGAGTACAGTCGTACAGATTTTTCTTTCCCTCCAATCAATTGGGCATGAGAAATAGCCTCAAATAGGTCTCCGAGACATCAGTCTTGACCGTTAGGTGGTGGCATTACTCTCCCTTTAGGTTTTTTTCCCCCCTTCCATTTTCCATCTTACAACAAATCTTCAAAGGGGACACAGGTGACCATTGACCCAGGTATGCGACTCCTTTTTTTCTGAGTGAATATTTCCCCCACACGCCGTGCACCAAACGTGCGGAATTTTCCGCACGGCGTGCACTTGCATGTATGATCTGTGCACATGTGCAGTGCGAGCAAGAGGTGCCTTCACATGCATTTCACCAAGTACATCTGCACCTGTGCAATTTCGAAATGGAAAAAGACAAACAAAAAACAAGAAACCAGCAGCAGCAGCAGCAGCAGAAGAAGAAGAAGAAGAAGAAGAAGAAGAAGAAGAAAGAAGACGGCGACAAAGAAGAAAACCGCGACAAAGAAGAAGAAGAAGAAGAAGAAGAACCGAAAGGGGCCAAGGAAACCACCTGTAAACAACCACTGTTCTTTCCTTCTTCGACTGTCCTTTTGATACTCCCGTCTTCACCCGAATAGAACACCCTGCCATTTTCGCTGCATCCGACTCAAAGTTGCACTAAATACGGCTATAACGCCTGGGAGTTCTATTCGGGTGAAGACGGTAAGCCACCTCCGCTATTTCAGTTGGGCCATCATTTCACGACAACCCTGGTTAGAAGGGAGACCTAGCCGCTTTTTTGTTTTTTTCACCTGGTGCATTGGATTGTCAACCAATCTACCACCCAAGTACTTTTTCCATCCGACCGGCGGAAATCAGCCTAGGTCAGGAGACCGGTTGGTCGCAAAGAGGAAGTGGGTACGCGTGTGGTGCATCGTGTATAATTGTATTCTGCATCGTGTAGTACAAGAAAGTCGAAAGTAGAAACATACCTACATACCTCCTCTGGAGTGAGCTGGTAGTTGTGCAGAAACGTCGAGACCTCTTCTTGCCGGTTAGTTACGTTGTCAAGCTCTTGCTTCAGTCTCTCGGTGGCGGCCACCATATTGCCCGTCAACGCCGAACAGCTGTTAAGCGACGCTGATATTCTGTGCACACACAGGATATCACCCATTAACGATAACAGTCCACCATTTACATAACGCAACAACAATCAACAGACGATCAATCAACAAGAATCAACAGTCGATCAATTAAACCACCACTCCAACAGCCGCTGCACTGTTCATTTTTCTTGTCTAAAGGTACCAGGCCAAAATCCGCAGTGCCCAGGCCCCGTAGAGGTTCCGTGTGGAAGGGCACCACAACTATTTTTCCTCATGCCGGCATTGTGGATTTTAGGCCAGCGGAAATGCATCTTTTGGTTTGTCAGAATAGGTCCGGATGCAGTGGCGGTTTAACAATCAACAGTCAATCAATCATCTCGTTATGAAACAATGATCAGCAGTCGGTCATCTGTACACGCAACAAGAATCGACCATTTTACACAATGCAACCACCATTAGCCGTCGATATGCAGCAACAATCAAACAACTGCGATTTTATACGCAAGAACCAATCAACGATCGATCTGCAGTGAAGGGGGATGTCCACATTTTGACTGACAAGTACTGACTATTAGCTGCCGGGCAGTCTTGGTCACAAACTGACCGGGGTTAAGGTGGATAATCATTATCATCATTGGTTAGGGGACTCTGCAGAGTGTAGAGGGTTCAGCCTACTGATGAGTGTGAGTCAGCGAAGCTCCGAAGAAACAGTGTGTCACAGCCCCTCGTTTGTCGTCTTCTCCACCCCCTTCACCTACCGGTTCACGCAGTTCTCTATGACGATATATACAGTCATAGGAAACACCCCGGTGAGCCGTAGACAGAAAGGGACAAACCTCAGAAAAGGACAAGAACCAGGAGGGCTGTGACAGACTATTTTGGCCGGAGGCTCACCGACTCATCGGGAGGTTATATATATATCGTCACATGAATATAGATAGATAGATAGATAGATGGATAGATAGATAGATAGATAGATAGATAGATAGATAGATAGATGGAGAGATAGATAGATAGATAGATAGATAGATAGATAGATAGATAGATAGTCGGTGAAACTCCGACAAAACAGTTTGTCACAGCCCCTTGTTTGTTGTCTTCTTCTCCCTCTCTGCCTACGGTTTACCGTTCTGTTTATATCATCAAACAGAGCTGCCCGATAAACCGTAGGCAGAGAGGGAGAAGAGGACAACAATCGAGGGACTGTGACAAACTGTTTCATCGGAGTTTCACCGACCTACTCATCAGGAGGCTGAACCCTCAACAGTCTGCAGAATCCCCGACCTAACTGATTCCACTGTAAGTGATAATCCACCTCAACCCCGGTTGTGGTGAAGCATCGACGACTGTCTGACAACTGATACCGTGAGGTGGGCACCAACCACTCCCCTCAAGGTGCCTGTGAGGAAAATCAAAGCAGTCTCACTCACCCCATAATACTCCAAAGTACTGTGTACTCACAGTACTCACGCCATAGTACCGCAACGTACTCTGTGTACTCACTCCATAGTACTTCAACAAACGTGTACTCACGGTGCTCACTCCAGAGTACTTCAGCGTACTCCATGTACTCAAAATGCTCACTCCATAGTACTTCAACAAACTCTGTGTACTCACAATGCTCACTCCACACTACTTCAGTGTTTCTGTGTGCTCACAGTGCTCAAAAGGCGCTCTGGAGTTAGGGAGAAAATAAGTATGTCTATCCCACAGGTCAAACATGGAGAATCTTTAAAAATTAAAAATTGAAAAAGATCAAAAGGTAGAAAAAGAGAACCCTGAGGAATTTACAGGGGGGGGGGGGGGGGGGTTCAAGGGTGCATCAGAAGCAGAGTGGGGAGGGTGCAAAAACCCACACACACTGGGAAAACAGTGCAGGACAGGGAAGAGGGGAGAGGAGGGAGAAGGGAGTAACATGATTCGTAGAGTAGAGGGAGGGAGGGAGGGAGAAAAGGGAGAAAGGGGAGGATTGGATGATTGATTTTCTATCGGTACCTTTATTTTATTTTATTTTATTTTATTTATGGTAAGTCCTAGGTATTCACCACATTGTTGCAGAGGTGTGCTTGCAAACATCTAGCACAGCGGCGCACACATCATTAAGAAAGTGTGTGCTGTTATTAACACATTATAAAAAGCTAGACACATCTCCTGTGATGAGGAATCAGATTAAGGCCTGGCCTGGTTGAAAACAGACATTATGACTGGTTTCGCCCTTCGCCCGCCTCTATAACTATATCTATCTCTGGCGAGCCTCAAGTTATATCGTCTTTACTTTACTGCCCAACATACCATTGCACGCAATGGAGGATGCTGTGAATGAGTGGGCTCAGCAACAGGCGGTGTTGCCAAAGGCCGAGTTATCCCTACTAATAGGGTCATTTTGAATTTATTTGGACTTTAAAGTCAAAAAAATGGACTATATCCTTCTCTGAGATTTTGTTTTGCTTGCAATATCAAGTCAATCTGTTCCGAAAATTTAGGATTCAATAATTTCATCTCACTCAGAGATCCACCGTTGTTGAAATTTGGAAAAAATCTTTCTTTATCTGCGGAAATACAGGATGCTTTGAAAAAACAGGGATTTGCTGGGGAACAAAAAAAAAAGAAGAGATGATCTTCATAAATTAGCGGAATCAAATCGTAGCTTTTCTCATTATCGTTGGTGGTAAATAGAGAACGTACATATAGAAATCAACACCTACTAAAAAATAATAATAATAATCATAATAATAATAATAATAAAATAATTAAAAAAATAAATAATAATAATAATAAATCAACACCAACCAAGCCTGAGTACGCGCAGCCTTTGTGGCATTTAGTTAGATGCGCGTATTTATTTTTTACTATTACTACGAAGTTTCGTCTCCGCTGGAAACTCACAGGCACAGACTTAGTGCCATTTGATGAGTAACCAAAAATATAAAGAAGAAGGATATAAGAAAAGGAAAGAAAAAAAAAAACTTTAAAAAAGTGATAAAAAATATTTTTCCCTTAAAAAAGTAATAGCAAGCAATAAAGATTTTTTACGATCCAAGTTCATCATACATACCAAAATGGATTAGCAAATATAAAATAAAATATGATTTAAATATCAAAAAAGGAAATTTGTATATATACCAACCCAGACAATCTTKWTCAAATGTTCTTTAAAAAAAAAAAAAAAAAACATACAAACACAAGATTTCGAGTCAATTCTTGTTTTTTTATGGATTAATATTTATGCGAGGCTACGCCCGCTTAGCCCTTACGGGGCCCTATCTGCAACAAGGTCGGCCGCCTTAAGTGAAGGCAGGCACGACAGGCCCTTCGGGCCTCATTCTTCAGGGTACCCCGCATCGGGGAAAATTCAGGCAGTTGCGTTGCGCCAGTTGGTTGAATGAATCCAGGCCCTGGGCCGCCTGTGTAAATGAATKTGAAGCAGGCCCTGGGCTGGATACGGGTACCRGGCCAAACACAGGCCGAAAGCAGTTGGGCGCATGCAACCACTTCAGGCMCAAGGCCTGCTCTCTTCGTKACTGGGCCTGTGCCTACCGGGKCCTACCGGAAGCTTCCKGGACTGGACGCAGGCAGGCCACTTCGATATAGGGAAGGGCCTGCCTCCTCATTCGATATTCGGGTGCTGGCTGCATGCTGCGCTCATTGCTGGCTGGCTGGCACTCACGCTCTCACGGGCGAGCAGGGAGGTAGCGGGCAGCCATAGCCGAGCTGCTCCGCTGTAGGCTGGATGTGACGCAGSGTGGTCCTTGGGTGCAAGTGGCATCTGTGCGGTGTGGATCRAGGTKGTGAGTGTTACGAGAGACATACCTGGTGCTGGAAGCRTGCGGCATTGTCCGCTGTATGCTCGTACTTCAGGGAGCTGTTGTTGTCAACATCGGCATTGTAGTATTAGGCTAGATAGGATCTGCCACAAGTAGTCTGGGCRCCGAGCGCCAATAGGATATCAACTCTTGTTCTTCGTTGATGATGATGAGAGACTATTTCAGCATTGTCAATTACGAACTATTGGTGTGTTCTGATTTGGTGAATCTCGTGATGCATGACTGCTGTTGGTTCGAGGTCAAGACTATCTGGACACATATGTATGATGCTGTTTGATTGCTGGAGTTCGCTAATGCTCATCTTCCTTGCAATTTGGTATCGGAGCTGTGGTACGGTGCGCTCATCTGGCGCTTGTCTCTTCCCTTATGCGGTACATACGTGCGGTCTGCTACGTGAGTGGGCTGTGATTGGTGTGTAGTGAGGAGGGGAAGTGACAAGTATTGGCGACCCAGGCATCGCCTGGAAGGCTACGTGTAAATATTGGGTGTTCGAAGTGTGATGAGAACTATCTGTTGGGTGATTGAGGCTGAGGTGGAACGGCGAGACAATGCTGGTTGTGCCGATGCTGTGACTGGTCATCGCAATCATCTTCAGATCATCTGGTGAGATTATCTCTATGGTTGGAGGCAGCTTGAATGAGGTACGTTGCTCTTAACCTTATCTACCCTCTCCATCACTTCTTACCGTGAGGTTGTGAGTTCTGTCTTGACAGTCCTCTCATCGTGAGGTGTCGTGTGCGCTCAACCTTGAGAGTCGTGATTGTTCACGTGGAGCATCTGGGGGAAGACGGGCGGAGCTTCTTGAAGGGCCCTGGACGAAGCACTGGGTCACGGTCACCATGCCAACCCACTGGGTGTAGTACATGCATGCTTCGCTGCAAGTCATTGGTTCTGCTGCTTGCGCATGATAGGGGTTAACTCGAGTGTGGCAGCCTCTACAGACGCTTACCAGACCGTCTATAAACATTTCTGGCTGGGGACTCGGCTCTGATCTGGCTGTGATCGTTGTCCGGCTGCGACGTAAAATAATTCCTGGAGTCACTTGGGGGCGGACGTTAAATTGCCTCTTGATCAGCCAGATCATCCGAGTGGAAGGCTCGTCGGCGTACGAGGATAAATAAGAGTGCTGTGGCTGCCTTGCTCGACGATAACCTGGGGCACAGGGGTGGGACCGGATTGCACACCTTCAGACACGCTTGGCTTCAGATGCTTAGGGAC